GTACAGCTGTTCTATATATTTAAGGCCGAGATATAGATTCTTGTTCAGTAGGGGAATCATCTATCTAAGGGTTAAAAGGGAAAGATGCGTCAGATCAGCCATGATCCTAATGAAAGTCTGAGCAGGCTCGAGGAGCTAAACAGCCTACTCTTGCTCTTATTTCTTAAAGGTCTTTTCACATACGACATAGATATTATCCATTGAGGGAAAATAGCATATGCAACAGCTTCTTCAAAAAGTATGCCTGTAATCTATAGCTAAAATGATGCTGTTCTTCCAATTGTTGTAAGAGGCACTGCTGAACAGAAGTTGGAAGAATTGGGGCAATAGGTAAAACATTCAAAATAAAACAGGGAACAAGGCATTTAAGATGCTGTGCACAGGCATAAAACATCTATTTCAATCAAATAACCAGATCACTAATAAAATCCATTTAATTTGAGATACCCTCCCAATTAATAACAGTGTGGATTATCTAGCAATGACACAGTAATTATCATATTGCTTTTTCCACAGGTGGCACCTACCCCCTCATCATTCCCCTCTTCTTGACTCTGTTCAGAAACACAGGGTGGTAGTCTCAGCAAGCGCAAGTTCTTCAGCACAGACTGTTCTTTTTGCTATTCAGTGTTAGACACACAGATAATGGCAGAACCAAAGCAGAGCGAATAAGGCGGTTGGGGCAGTGGGGGGAGAGGGGGTGGGGAAGGGGGGTGATGTGTTGGGGAGGTGGAGGGGAAGAAGCAGAAATTGCACACAGGCTATGAATTAACTTGTCCTAGCAAAGCCCGTTACTAGACAAATAAAATATCCAAGCAAAAATTTTCTTCGACAGTTCCACTATATACTTAAACTATAATGTACAAACTTTCTAACTATGAATAACAGTCCATTTGCTTTTTTGGGCCCCTCACCAAAGGCTAATTCTATAAAAGGACAGTGAGGCATCAGTTATTACTATTCTTGAACCACATAAAAAAATGTTTTAGGTTATCAATGAAACCAAGATATTATTTTTTCTTGAGGGGGTTACTTCTCCTTACCAGAACTTCTCCAACTTGTACTCGGCACTTGAGAAATGTTGGAGAGAAATAACTTCAGTGCAGGCTTCGGTGTGTCAACGTACCAATATGCTATTCTGATATTTTAAAGGTGCGCCTCTCATTTTGAGATATATTGTTTTTATTAAAGTACACTAACAGCATTTGAAGATTTTTCTAATTAAACGATCTCCCTCATAACATGGCATAGACTCTATGAGTACAGCTTTGCCAACAGCAAAGGACAGCCTTTCACAACTTCAGGTCTTCCCAAAACACTTCAGTTAATTCAAATACATACCTTTGATAATGAATGCAAAATAACTTATAAACTTTAGATAAGTAGGAAGGTATGTTGTCAAGAGGACACAAGGAGGATGCAGAAGAACCTAGATAGGTTGAATGAATGGGCCAAAACTCTAGCAAATGAGGTATAACATGGAAAGATGTGAAGTTATTCACTTTGACAGGAGGAAATAAAGAAAGCAGAGCACTATATTACTTAAACAGAGAATAACCGCAGCATTTCCAAATGCAGAGGGTTCTAGGTATTCTGGTGCATGAGTCAAAGTATGCAGGTATAGCATACAATCAGGAAGGCTTATTGGAATGCTATATTTTATTATCAGAGAAATTGAACATGAAATGCAATGGGGCATTAGGTGAGACGACACCTCAAATGTATGCGGTTTTGATGTCCTTGAAGGAAGGACGTACATGCTTTAGAGGCAATTCGCAAGGGGTTTACCGAATTGATACCTGGAATGGTCTTGAGGAAAGGTTGAACATTCTGGGTTTGTTTCCACTGGAATTTAAAAGAGAGTGTGTGGGGTGACCTAACTGAAGTATCTTGAACAGTCCTAATAAACTGGACAAGAAAAGGGGGTTTCTTCGTGAGTGGATCCAGAAGTGGAGGCACTGCTTGAAAACAAGGAGCCACTTTTTTTTTTTTTTTTTTTTTTTAAGGTCAGGTAGCAGGAGAATGTTTTTCTCAGAGTCGAGATACTTTGGCATATTCTGCTTCAGAAGATGGTGCTAAGACGGAGGTAGATTGTAAGGTTATCATTGGGGTGGAATTCAAAGCCAACATGGTAGAATGACACATAGGGCTGAGTGGCTCACTTCTGCTCCTAATTCATTTGTTTTAATTTTATAGTCATACACAGATACTTTAATACAATATATCTACTTGTGTACACAATACTGCAATACATAGCTTTTTCAAACGAGACATTAAACTGAGGCTAGCTTCTTGGGAGTGCAATGTAAAAACTCTTATGATACAAGATGAAGCACAGCAGGAAAATAATCCTCCTGGTCAACATTCATACCTCCCAAACAACAAAAATTGTAGGGCGTATTCTTCCCAGTCCTTGAACAATGTGAACAATGGTGGGAACGATGGGAGAATCGTATAAGATGACCTTGGAAGAGCTTCCCGGTGTTGTGAAACTAGGTCACTCTCCCTGATGTGAAAAGTGGAATGGTAATCTGGTAACTCAAGCCCACTGCATGCTCCTCTGGCTCTCTGTCAGTCATAATTGCAGGTTTCACCCCATGGGTAGCAACCACAAGCACCCCCTCCCCCAACCATCCACCCAAAACGGCATGCCAGTTTGTCTCTACCCTACACATCTTGGGCTATTGTCAAAAACCATGCAGAACAGCTGTGGACCACAAAGTCTTGACAAGGTGGATGGCTGGGCTTCAATGATGGTGCTGGTATCAAGAATCCCAGAAGGTCACGGTGGTGGCCAGTACTCTGTTGTGGCAAGTGGATGCATTGATAATGAGTGGAGTTTGGGAAGATAGCATGAGAAGATGTAATAGAGCTCATGGAAACAAATCTTCCATGAAACCTGCTAAAATTGACACTGCTGATTTCTGGTAAAATTCAACCCACAGACAGCCTAGCCATTTATGCTGCTGTTGAGATCCACTTGTGCAAATACTGGTTGATGCATTTGTCAAAATGGCATCACAAACTGCACTGCAGAAATGAATCATGGGCAGTGAAGCACAATGGGATAACTTAAGCTTATGATAGGCATTGGTTATTTGTGCAATACAAAGCCTGCAATATGTAACCAACAATTTAGGGTGTTATTGAATATTACATACAAACCTAGCCTATTTTGGAGGAAGCGCCATTATCTAGTTGAATAGTTTTTCCAGAAATTGTTCCTAGTGAAACTACAAATTTAGTGATGTTATCATAGTTTCTGGAAAATCACAGGGCACTACAGTCCATTCAAGGGGTCTTCAAGCAGGGAACAATCATACTTAAGTACTAGAAACACAAGTCATATTTGTGGTATTGACATCGATCATTATGAACTGAAAACTGAATTGTCAATGGTTTACATTTAGAAAATACACTGTATTCTTAAGCCAGGTACTTACACTTGAGAAATATATTACAGTACATCCATTCAAGAACTACCTGTAAGTACTTATAAAAGAAAGTGCAAGGGATTTTAGCACAGTGCAATTTAAAAAACCATTAACTGAACTGAAGATTTGGGGGTCAGCCATGCAATCTTAAATGATTTTACACTTAACCATTTAGTTAGACGTCACACGCCACCAGGGTTATAGTCCAACAGGTTCAATTGAAATCACAAGCTTTCGAAGCACTGCTCCTTCATCAGATGAAGTGACTTTACTCCAAAAGCTTGTGATTTCAAATAAAACTTGTTGGGCTAGAACCTGGTGTCGTGTGACTTCTGACTTTGCCACCCCACTCCAACATTAGGACTTCCACATCATGGTTAACCATTTAGAGGAAACCTATCTTCTGGTCTCGCCCAGACTGAAGGAGCAGATTCACTGGAAACATACTCCAGTTTATGGAGCTAAAGTAGAACTTTATTCCTTCGAATTCAGGTTGAAGTGCAACTTGATCATGATGATTAAAACTATCAAAAGGCTGCTTACAAAGAAGCTATTTTGTATGCTGGGGAAATACACAACAATAGTTGTGATCTTAGAATTAGAGCTAGCTCACACAAATCAAATCAGGAAGCACTTCTTCCATTCAAATAGGAGTGGAAACTGGTACTTTTCTCCCTAATAAGAATAGTGCTGGGGAGATTCAAATTTTCACCATCAACAGTTTCTCATTGAGAAAGGGTATCAAGGGATAAGAATCAGCATAAGATTTGAGGTACAGGTCAGCTACAATTAAACTGAATGGTGGGATATACTAGAGAGGTTGAATCGTTAACTCTTACTCCTATTTAATAAAAGCATCTAATTCAGGATCACAAATGCATCTATTTTAAGCAATTGATTTACACATTTCCACCTATGATCTCTGCTCATCAATGTGTTATCAGGCTGATTCATTAAGTATTTGCAGTACTGATTCTTGCCCACTAGGTGTCAACAATGCACTACAAATTAAATTCTGTACAGTGAGCATTTGAAATTAAAGTCACAAAATTAGTAAACTTCAACTTTGTGCAATATTGTTAGGAGGAAAGTACTCAGTACAAGCTGATTTAGGTAAAAAACACTGAACACATACGCAGGGGGTCGCATTACTACTATAGTTCAGAGCCTAAAATCAGCTGTAACCAGACCAGAATGTCAGGAAGGTATTAAATATTTTGATAAGCAAAACAAAAAAGTGCTTTTACAAATGACATTGAGGCATCTAATCTCTATTTAGAAATACAACCTCTACTCACTACAATGTAATTTATAATGAATAGATTCCACACAACATATGTTTATAAAACATATGCAGGTAAGAGCTAGAGTGGCCAAATTTCAAAAGCTTACATTTCAGCAAACAGACTAATCAGGTATCTCAAAGACAACATAAATTCAAATATTTTTGTCATGATCTTGATAGACTAATATTATAAAAGTCTTCCCCATTTAATCAGAATTCACATTCATCATTCTGCAACTTAATTCTGTGTTCACTTAAAAATATACTAAAAATGCACTTACCAGAGTCACTCCAGAGAGGACTTCCAAAAGTGAAATTAAGTTATGTCCATCGCGTAGATCTTCATAAAGATCACTAATGTGCTTCCGTACCTAAGCAGAAACAGAAATGATTGTTAAACAAAAAAAAAAAAAAAAGTACTTGAGTAACAAACGTCAGAAGCCTAAAATAAATTCCTGGAGAAACATTCATTTCCAGCAGCTGTCATAGAATATTCAGCAATAATGCAAATAATTGAGGATTCAATGCTAACAGCATTTCACAACTGTCTGGATAGGTTTATTTTATTTCTTTGTTAGAACAAAATCTGAAACAAAATTTTGTGTGCACTTCAGTTTCAGTGAAAGAGCACCATGTTAAATTTAAAAAATGATTAAGGCAGATTTCATTTTGGGATCAGCTGGGATCACAATGGTGTTAATGTGGAACAAAAAACAACCAAAATGAGCAATAATAGAACACCTTTGGTAGTTATAATAAACAATAAACATTTGGGACTTACAACAGAACAACAAACTCCAGGAATACCCAGGCAATGACTGACTGGTATTTTGACGTGACTCTAAATAGTATTACATAATGAAACATCCTAAATGGACTAACAAGGCTTTTGGAGAAGGATGGCATACTGATGAGTCAGAAGGAACAATACAACAGTCATAAATTCTCTCATCTTGGACACACATTTTTGTACTGTGTTAGACAATGGATGCATGTCCACAGGTTGCGGACTAGATTGGTCAAAATCTTACCTAGATTATTCAAATAAACAGGGCAGAAACATAGTTAAGGAAGTTGAGAGATCTGTGCGTGTCCAGGTTTGGAGACAACAACACATTTAACGGTCACAAAAGAGAGTGTGTGGGAATTCTACGTAAAATACCAGGGGTATAAAATACTTCGGCAGTGCACCTATGTGACATTAAGGTGAAATGCCTTTCTACTGTTGAATGGCTCTCAAAGTGGATATGGAATACAAGGCAATTATTTTTGGGACGTCAGTGAATTTACTGTTTACCCAATTTGGACATCATAGTCTTCCTTTAACGAGGCCCAATTTCTCTAATCAAAATACTAAGACAGATTACTGGCAGCCAGGCATAGGAAGCAAAAAAAAAAAAAGGAGCGAAGGCTAATTGTTTTAAAACTGCATCAGCACTTCATTCATCCGTCTTCTCGGGTTAGATAGAGACAATGAGTACGTTAAACTTACCAAAGAGATCAGTTTAAAAAAAAAATTAGTTAAAAATACCATCATGGCCTATACTGGCCTGTAAGCAAGAGACTTAATTAAAGTTGTAGCAATGGACTTGAAGGTATAGGAAAATAAAGAACTTTCATTTTGCATTATGTACACACAGCAACCAGATTAATCTGTCTACAATAATATTTGGTAAAGAAGAAAGTGATCCTGAACAAAGAATAGGGATTGGACAGAAGGCACGAGCTAAATTCCTAATTGATAGAGGTAAAATGAGAAAAAAGTTTGCTGATGATGAATGTAAAAGTGTAAAATCACATGAGCATAATGGTAAGGAACACAGAGAAAGTTCTTTGTATTAATGGAGTTTGAGATCTAAATCATGCAATAAATATAGGAAAGGCTTCCTATAATCTTAGCAAGCCAATCAAATTGTAAGCTAACATCTGGTCTCATGTAGATACTTCTTGTGAAGAACTCATTGCAAGTGGTTGATGAATGCAGTTTGTATCTGAAGTGTTTTTGGAGAAAACCAAAAATTCCTTTGTAATCAAGGATCAGTTCCCCAACTTGGTTTGGACTACAATTTGCTTCATTTTTTCTAAACGCCTAAATGCTCTGTGTAGTGAGGAGGACGACATTCATTAAAACTGAGGTTTCAAAGAAAATTCAGAGTCTTATGGCATCATGTAAGGCTGTCAGAAATCAATTGTAATCCAGGGGATATGGTATATTACAAAAAGGGATGGGCAGAAACTGTGACAAGATTCGGGCAAGATGGTGATGGAGAAACATTAGTTCTATAATATGACAAAATCTTTCAAAGTGCATTCTCAGGGTTATTTGGCACTGGACATACTTTTTTTTTAAAAAACAGAATCTGAGCAAGTAATAAAAATAATGAGGCACCATGTGCCTTGCATACATATATATGCTGACAATTAGGAGAAGCAGATTAAGGTAGATAAAATGCTGCATGAACAAGGACATCATGACAATGAAGAACAGGACAAATCTATTTGTCCCAGGAGGACAGCTATCAAAAGTTGACCACATCGATCACTAACACCACACCACACACCCACTCCCATGTAACTGCAGAAGGTGCAACACCTGCCCCATCACCTCCTCCCTGCTCACCATCCAAGGGCCTAAACAGTCTTTCCAGGTGAAGCAGCATTTCACTTGTACCTCGTCCAATCTTGTGATTTTTACTTGTTGCACCCAAGATGGCCTACTCCACACTGGAGAAACCAAAACACAGGATGAGGTGACAGTTTTGCAGAACACCTCCCGTCTGTGCATAAACATAACCCTGACTTTCCCATAGCCAATCATTTTGACACAGCATCCTGTTCACATGCCCACATGTCTGTCCTCAGCATGCAGCAATGCTCCAGTGAATCTCAGCGCAAACTGGAGGAACAGCATCTCATCTTCAGACTAGGCACATTACAACCTTCCAGACTTAATATCAAATTCAACATCTTCAAATTGTGAAGCAACTCCCACTTCTTCCCTTTCTTTCAGCTTTACTGGTTATATTCTCTGCCACCATGTCCTCTCTCCCTATCCAAGTGGGACTGTCTGTTCTTTCCAAGCCTGGCAGTTAGACACACCATTATTCTGCCATTCTCAGATTAAGAGATTGAAACATGAACCATCAACATCCTTTCTCCACCAGCACTCAACTCCACTGCTGCCACCCCCCACCCCAACAATGATAGCATAAATGCTGCCCCCTCCACAATTCACGTCAGCTCTGAAGTCAAACGACTCGAAACATTAGCTTGCTGCTCGATCCGCTGTGAACTCCAGCATTTGATGTTTTCAGTATCAAAAGTTGACACCAGATTCATGTATGCCTCATGGGGTAGAAAATGGAGGGAAGATTCCATTGCAGGTAGCAGTATATACAAACATTGGCTAAATGTGCAAGATAAGCCCAGAAGGCAAGATTCACAGCTTGGCAAAAAGAAGAAAGTATGAGGAACATTACGAAATGCGGTACAAGTACTAAAGGTTGGCCTGGAAGTGGGAACAGTCTTAGGAAAACATTGCAGACTGACAGTACGAATTCTGATCAAAGGGGAGATCTTGCAGTTATAGTCCATAAAGTCCAGGGTCAGCTGTGGTCAGAGTTTGGCAAAAACAAGGACCACGGAACATGCCAGGGATACCATTAAAAACAGAAGTCGTCCTTATGATTGAAACGTTTTTGGACCTAACAAATTAGAGGGCAAGTTCATAAAACATGTCAAACAGGAAGGATGCTGAAAAGCTAGGCAGAATTTGGTGTATACACAAAAGGTGCAAGGTATGAACAACCAACCAATCTTATATACTATTTTAAACGGAAAACGAAGTTCTCTCTATACTGTTATGAGTGAAAACCACCAGGTCAGGGATGCACTAGGGTAAATACAGGAGGAAAGTGCCTTGTACTCTTAAAACTGAAAGCTCCTTCTACTCTTTCAAACAAAGTCAAAAAATTGTTAAACAGCCCCTGCTGAGGCACTGTAATAGAAAACAAATTTAACAGTTTAACCGAATCTTGTATAATGAAACAGAAATGTACCAAGTTAGAACAACATTATCCAGGCCGATGTACCCCAATATTTGCAGTGGCCAGTGGTCTCTGAAGGCTTCTATTGTATCGGAAAGCATTGCATCCTCCCTCTCCAGGGATACCAGAGCACAGACGTAACCACAAATAAGGAACAAACTTCAGCCCCACGATCTTCAGGCACCCCATGCAGGGAGGGATGGACAGGTCAGAAGACTTTGTGGACCTGCTCCTGGGCCTGACCACAGTGGCTAACAACAAATCCAGGCAGTAGGCCATGAAGGAGTTTGTTGTTCCTGACTGTTAACCAGTCTTTTCTTGCAGATTTCAATGCACTGGAAGTGCTTTTTGATGGTACACAAAGCTAAAGCTAGACTAGTGGCTTGGAATGTTTAAGAGGGACTTGGTAATCAAAATATTAGAGATGTTTCTCTAACAGCAGGAAATGTAAGCCTAATGATTTCCTTAGCTCTTCACAACTTATTCTTGTGCATCTAAATTGTTTAATATAAAAACTGTATTTCAGAAGGAAATATTTTTAAACCCACCTAGAGATGATGATATAGAAGGAAAGTTGTGGAAATTAAGTAATTTTTTTTTTATTAAAAGACAGGTTGAATGATGCATCAAGAGTCTAGCACTTCTCAGTTAGGTATATCCTGTTGAAAGTGAACTGTATTTGTTTAAAAGTAGATCCAGTGCTGTTTTATTGGTATCATAAAAGGAGAAACCAGTAGGCATCTTTAAACGATGCAAGTCAATGATTTTTGTGGTTGGTTGGCTCACCGAGTTGGTTCGTTGTTTTTCCGCAGACATTTCATTATCCTGCTGGGTAACATCATCAGTGCAGCCTCTGATGAAGCACTGTCATGTTTTCCCACCTGTTATTTGAACTCTGGAGTCCGTTGAGCTGGATTACCTCACTTCCGGTGTTCCTTTGCAGTGGAGTGTATATGGGGTTGAGCTCTATGTATTTATTGATGGCTTTCTTTGTGGAGTACCAGTCTTCTAGGAATTCCGATGCTTGTCTCTGCTTTGCTTGTCCCGGGATCAAGGTGTAGTCTCAGGTCGAACTGGTGGTTCTCCTTATCCATGTGGTTAGATGAGCGAGTATTGGTCGTGTCTTTTTGTAGCCAACTGATGTTCATGTACCCTTGTTGTTAATTTTCTTCCTGTTCGTCTGATGTAGTGTTTGTCAGTCTCTGCAGGGAATCTTGTATGTGACACTAGTCCTGTCCATAGTGGGTAGTGGATCCTTGGTTTGGGTGAGCTGTTGAAGGGTTGATGTGGGTTTGTGTGCTACTCTGATGCCCAGTGGTCG